AATTATTTAAAAATTTATATTATTTTAAGCACAGAACCATTCCAGGATTCCCTGGGTCCCAAGGATGAATAAAGTCGCCAAGTTCTGAGTCAACTCGATGAATCTTATCTAACTTTCATTCAAAAAAAAAACCACAAAAAATAAATAAATAAATAACAAAAAGTAAAAAAAATATAAAATGGTTGAAAAAAATATTAGGTAATCAATAAGAAAAACATCCAAAACAAATCAAATCAGTTACAAGTCCTAATATTTATTATGTAAAATAATCTAAAATTGCTAATCCAAATTCCAACCTTAGAACCCAAATAGAAAATCTCATAGATCCAATATATTAACATGTTTTACGGCTTGCATATTGTATATCTGGGAGGGTAAAAATAGGGCCAAGATCCTTTAGATGCTTCTAAAGAACCCCAAAAAGTCTCAAGAAAAGATAAAAAACACTTCCAACTTCTGATCGGAAATCACTATTCAGAGAGTGTCAGACTTTGTGATTCCCTTTCACCTAGAGACTCACCTAACATATGGCACGAAAACTCATCAAGTCCCTAATAAAACCCCAGCAAGTTTTTAGATTTTGGGCCCAAAGAGTAGAGGCAATCATGCACCGGAGGCCTATCCAAGCCAAGTGAACTTGGATGAGTCATCATCATCATCAGAGCCTTTTTCCAACTAATTGGGGTCAGCTTGGGCGAGTCCCGAGTTTCAACTCCAAATTTTAAAAAATCGGGGGGACTCAACAATATCTAGAATCAAGTCTCGAGAATATAAATCAGCCTCAACATTGCTTCACCGGAGAAGGTACACGAAAGAACGAGTAAAGCAGGTAGAACAATATGAGAGAGATGAAACATCATCTCAAAACCAAAACAAAAAGGCTAGGTTAGGATTGACTATCACTCCCCAAGGCCTGCGAAAAATTGAGTGAGCCACACCTCAATGTGCTCAACACATCAACAACCTTAAATCCCCACAAAACCCAGAACTAACTGAACCCCAAGAGATGATTATAATTTAAATGCTCTCCTCAGAGATGTTTATACTTTGAATGTTCTCTCTCAAAGCCTCATCCGAAATATACCCAATTTTGGCATGTAGAAGAGTACGGCCAAATGTATCACTGAGGGAAACCAAAAAGAAATTGTCTATCTGCACTCTATATGTAACATGTTGAATTGATTGCAAGTATGATTTTCCATCCACACTGAGTAAGAACATATAAAACAAAAAGGGTCCAACAGAATAGCGTGTTTGCTCCATTGTTAGCAAAATCGCCCGATTTAACAGCTAACCGCCCTGTTAGATCGGAACTGGCCAGTGGCAGGTTCCAGTTTCGGGCGGTTAGGGTGATTAACTGGTATTTAAAAAAAACAAAATTCAAAAAAATGTATATAAATTCTCAAAAATATGGAATTTGATTTGTAATGCATTTTAAAATATTCTTTATATTATAATAAAGATTAAAACTTGTTTGGGTCACTAATACTCACTTTTATATTTTCCTATCTTTTTTAGAAAATTTTAAAAATAGCCCTTGGAAAAGATAAAATGGGTTAAAATCCATTTTTTTCATTAATTTTCAACTTCATTTGAATGTGTTTTGTTTTAATCATTCTTTATATGCTTTTCATATTTTAGTAGATTTTTTTTGTACTTTTTTTTTATTTTTTTTCAACACTTTTTTGACTGCCCGGGACTTGCCCAATTAGAGCAATTGAATCGATCGGTTTACTAGTTAGGCCGGTTAAACCGCTTCCAGGCCCATGTCTGGTTAATCATTCCGGTTCGATTTTGCGAACACTGGTTTGCTCTGTCAACTATGTTAACATGGCACCAGAGAAACTTCCCCAAAAATATACCAAACCCTAAGGAAACGTGGAAAGAAATGCTTCGAACTAAACAATGAGGGTCCAATACTAAAACGAACATTTAGCTGCATTGCCAAAAGCTAAAACAACAAAAGCGGAACCCTAATCCAAAGATATTCTTGAGGTCATATATCCATTATAGAATTTTAAACCACACTACATATTATTTCTTCAAGACTTTGGGGAAAGCTGTCACCGGTCAAGTACTAAGGCACAAATTCGATGATCTCAGAGTTCTATCAATAAATAGTTTATTTATAAGGGAAATTCTATATAAGGTGTCAACTTTATACCATTAAAGTAAGGTGCACCTTAAAATACTCTAGAAGAGAGTGCTCTAACGTTGGAGAACCCCTAATAGATCATCTTATTTAGACCGACTATATTTTCAAGTGTTTATAAATATTCTTGATCTGTATTTTAAAAAAAAAAAAAAATCAGCTAGGGATAAAAATAGATTTTCAAACCATCATAAGGTTTCTGATATTGGAATTACATCTCCAGAGAAAATTTAGAGGTGTGCCTTACGTCGACAGTATAAGAACGGTTCCTTATATAAACCTCACCCTATTTATAAATGTGGCCATTTCTAGTTCTTTTTAAATAGGACATGGAATAGTTCTTTTTAAACCTCACCTCATTTATAAACATGAGAATTTTCTAGTTCTTTACACTACTGAAGTAAGGTGCACCGCAAAAATCCTCTAAAAGAGATTACTTTGATGTTGGAGAAGCCCTAATTGACCATCTTGGCCTCAAGATCTATGGATCTGAAAAAAAAAAAAAGATTTTCAAGACCCAAATTTAGTGCATCTTATAACAACTTCTATGGGATTTTTTAGATTTTCAAGTGTTTATAAATCTGCTCAATTTTTATATTTTTTTTTAATTTTAAATTTCGTAACTAGGGATAAAAATAGATTTCCAAACTATCATAAGGTTTCTGACATTGGAACTACATATCCAGGGAAAATTTAGAGGTGCGCCTTACTTCTACAGTATAAGAAGGATGCCTCATATAATAAACCTCACCCTATTTATAAACATGGACATTTCTAATTCTTTTTAAATAGAACAATGAATATTTTGGGTGTTTTCGTAGAAAGTGGATGGAAGAAATGGCCCTTACCCATGAATATTAAAGCACACTAAACATTGCCTTTTGTACTCATGAATGGACAGGCAAGAGATAGAATGGAATTATTCGATAATAAATGGTCCATCCAAAATGGGCCTCAATTGTACTACACTACGACTCTTGAATGAATGTAGGAATGGGTTAAGTATTATCAATTGTACCTTTCAACTACTAATGTGCATGCACGCCAAAATTAGTTAAAAGAAGGCAGGATATTCGAGCTTCCAGCAAGATTCATATCTAAAGACTGAATATGGATGGTTTAAATCATATTTGTTGGGAGCACGAGCGGGTGCAGGAGTGGGAGTAGAAGTAGCAGCCCAGGATCAACTCATGGATGAAGCTCCCTACCGTAGGAGCACTTGGAAACGTTGTCCAGGGAGTGGCTTGATACAGTACTATATGCATATAGGAGCGAATGCTCAGTAAGTGTCCATCATGTATGTTATTTCATTTCCTTAAATGTGATATATGTTTATGTGATTATATAAATTATTTTATTTATTTTTAAGTGTTATTTAAAATATAATAATCGACCCCATATAGTTGGGAAAAGGCTCTATTAATCATGATGAGTTATTTAAAAAATAAAAAATGTATAGTCCACTTCTTTTAGCATTATTTATATAAATGCAGAATGAAAACTCTATAGCACGAAAAGTCCCATAGAAAAAGGAGAAAAATGACATCATAGGATCTTGATAAGAACAAAATTTGAGAATTGCCCAGGTCCCTACAGTGAACTGGGTGATTCACTCAATGAACCACCTAGTTCTGGATAACCCAGGTAATTTCCTAAACACCCTTGACTTAGAGCTGACTAGGGTGATTCTAAGTCGGCTCACTGATTTTCAACCATTGATGCAAACCGCGGCCTTGAAATAGAAAACAAGAATTGCCGATAGGTTGTCATTAGCTAGAAAATATCAAAAAGCAAAAAATGATACTAGGATCACACCCTCATTTTCAACAGAATCATTCCCCATTCCACATGGTCGAGATCCATTTTAATCAAAGATATCTCTTTTAATCAAGGATAGAGATCTGCATTAGAAAGGAATCGAGATCCTTTGATAGGGGAAGGGAAGATGAGCTTTGCTCGAGCGCCAGCTCCGGGACTGCAGAAACAAGATTCCAAGGAGGGATCATCGCCTATCCACCAAGCTCTATGCATCTATGATTCAAAATATTAGTAATGAGTCTCCCATTAACTGTCAATGCCACTTGCCCTACTTCAGAGAGGAAAGAAACGTGCCATAGAAGCAACCATTCGACTGTTCCAGAAAGATCAGCAAGCAAAGGAAAAAGATAATGGAGTTTCAAAGGCTCATGGGTATATATGAGAGAAATAATAACCCATAATCCACAATTGACAAGTTGGATATGAATTAAATTCTTGCTCCAGCTTGATAGAAAGTATTGATGATATATACAACATATGGACAAGAGGATGCAAACATCATACCCTACTTAGTTGTACTCTACTTGCCACATAACCTGCTGATTAAGGGTATTACTTAACTTCTTAAATGACAACAAATAAAAAATACCAACCTCATGCTCTTTTAAAAACTAAGAAGTCAACATAATCCCTGCAGCACATGAGTATACAACAATTATCTCAAACAGTTCATACAGGCAGATGTGCAGATCAACATATGGCAAGTGTGATTGGAATATCATGAGGTTTGTTCCTATCCAATGATCCTCTAAGTATACCATTAAAAAATTATTATTAAATATAATCTGCAATCTATGACTTTGTGGAAACACAGTGAAGCAGAAACTAAAAAAGCATGAGCTTCACATCCAAGCACAGAGAAAATTGGAAATGCTTATGTGTGTGCATTATGTGTAAGCTCTAAGCACCACAGTTACCACTCAATCCACATATAATTACTCTATGGACGATTATAACAGTCAGTGATAATGTGCACTTCTATAATAGGAGCTTAAGAGCAAAGCCAAGGAGGATGGCTTCTAAAACGAACCTCAAGTTGTTCTAATATAGAGTAATCTCCAGCAGCAAGCTTCTTCCTTATTGTACCAAAGTCCATTGGATGTTGTATTACATCATGATAATCTGGAAGCTACAAGAGCAACTCAAGGATAAGACTACAAATAACAGCACATCTAACACATAGTCCAACTACTGACAAAAAAAACTGTGTCCTACCTCTTCGGGATCCACAGGTTCAGCAAATACACTATAAGTGTCTTTCCTGGAGTACACAACTCAAAACATAGAGCAAAACAGATTTCAGACAGCCTAAAAAAATAAGTAATAAGAAACAGTGAACGATGCAAATGTAAATTACGACAGAGGTTTGCAGAAGTAAAGAAGATGGCATTAAGACGCACTTTTGAAGCTTATCAAGAATACCCTCCAACAATTTTGTGTCTGGTAAAGGTGTCGCGGATGAGGAGTCAGATGGTGGGCCTGATCAGACAAACAATCATGGGCAAGATTCGGAAGAATAAGAGACAAAAATTCGCATATCATATATTCATATCGTGGCTTTAGATGCAACCAGAAAGAAGAGACAGAAATGGATACCTGGATCAGCATCTGGGGTGTCCTGATTCTTCTCTTCCTGGGAAACAGACATGATGAAACATGTCAAATGAGGTAATATGAACATGAAAACTGAAGAGAGAAGAAGGAAAACTACGCATGAGCAGAAGCAACCCCAAATACCAAAAATAATTTCAGTTGAAACTTGCAACATGCACTCAATTTCAGATTCATGGACAGGTGATCCCAAATTCCAACACAGAAGAAATGCTTTCTTCGAAATGTGACAGTCAGGCTATCATTGCCTTCGAAAGAAGCAGGAAACCATAATTGAAACAAATCTACGTTTCAAAATGATCAAATTCGAAACAAAAGAGAATGCCCATGAGTCTATGGATGACACTTCAGTCTCAAAAATATCCCAGACACAGAATCACCACTGTCACAAAGTGCGGAGAAGAACATCTCTATCGCAATGTCATGCGGAAAATAAAAAGACCCAATTTTATTAAGCCTGAAAAAGGGAATGAGGGGCTAAAAAGACAAAAAGTCAAACCAAAGAACAAAGAATATCAGAACCCAGCAACATATTAACAAGGAGAATCTCAGCCCTAAAAACAAGGAGACCATCCCATCCGCAAGATTCCATTAATAATAAGTAAAGCAAAAAATGAACCCAAAGAAAAAGTAGAAAAACACAGACCAGAAATAGAGCTTTCCTTTTAGAACTAAGTACTCCTTCACTCAAAGCAATACAAATAACAGTAACAGTAACAATAACAATAATACCTTGGGATCAAGAGATCCATCATCATGAAGCAAAGGGAACCCATTCTCTCCATCGTGAAGCTTCCTCCTCTTCCTAAGACTCTCCTTATCTCTGCACCCAAACTCATCCGACGAAGAAACCCCCGAATCAGGGCCGGATGTGAGAGCGGCCTCATCGACTCGCTGCGAAGAAGCCGAAGAAGCGGAGGGGCTTTGACTTCTATTGTTGTGATCATAAGACCTCGGCAGTCTCAGCACAAGCTTCAGCTTCTTCTCTCTCTTACACTCTTCCTCATCATCATCATCATCATCTTCCTCGTCCTGGAACAGGTCATGGTAGGAGCGGCGCGTCCGCGGCCGATTGCGGTTGCGCAGAGAGTAAGTGGGGGGCGGAGGAGGTGGGGGGTGGCGGCACCGCTGCAAAACAACGAGAGATGGTCGCCCTTCCTTCTTCTTCTTCCTGGATTCAGCTCCCGCTACCTTACCCATCCCCCTCTCTCTCTCTCTCTATGCCTTTCTCTCTCTTCTCTCTCTCTCTCCTCAGCAGCTTCCAGATTTTTGTTTGGTTCGTCTTTCTCTCTCACTACCTTCACTTTCTCTCTCTCTACCTCCCCACCACCCAGCCTCTCGCCTTTCCTTTCCTTTCCCTTCCTTGCGTGGGTTATCGTGCTTCCTTTTTCTCCCAGTGCCTTTTCACCGACACGAACCTGGGTCCGGGCCCCTCCGAACCTAGGTCCGGGCCGTCCGAGCCTGCTTCCTTGGCTGGGGTGGAGGTGGAATTCTGACACTCAAAAATAATTGTAGGTGAGCGCAGTGAGTGGGTGTTGAAGTTGAAGGAGCGTCCCCTCACTCGTGGGTCCCACTTCCTTATTCTCACCCCCTCTTTCTCCACGCGTCAACATCTGGTTACTAGCTGCGTCGACCGCTTATATATTTGAAGAAAGGGCCTATCTTCCCCAATAATTCAAAAATAATGGGCGTATATAATGTTCCCGCGGGAGCATATTGTACATCGAATTCCACTCAAAACAAGCTTTCTGTTTTTTCTTTTTTTTCTTTTTTTTTGGTCTAAAATTTTGGAAATTACGTAATAGCTATATTGAAAATAAAAAATTTGAATTTTGAGTTTTATGACAAATCTAGCCCATTAATAATTGGAGGATGTATTTTCAATATTGAGATATTAGTTTTTTTAGTACATGAAGATTTTCTTTTAGAATTTTTTTTTAGTGAAATTACTCTATGGATTGTTAAGATTACGTCCCATAATTGGTTATTGTAATGATGAAGTTTCTATGATGCCCAAGCTTTATGATAATAAAATAGAGCTTTACTTATGAGCTTCATCTTAAAAAGCACTTTCGGCAATTGAAATCCCTATGATAGTTCAAAAATCAATTTCCAATATGAACAATAAAATTTAAAACTCAAAAAATATTTCATATATTGAGAATCTATAAAAATTTATTTTTAAGGCGAAATAGACAATCTAGAAACTTTGTTACAATATATATTATTTTTAAAGTTTAAAATCTTAACCTTTTTTACAACAATAAATGTCAAGATCTTCCCTTGAATTGTAATTAATTTGATATATCCCTAACATGTACTTTGCCTATGGAGTAAATAGGTATATACTCCCGCGGGAGTAGAAAATCTCTTGAAATCTCGAGTGTAGCAAATACATTGCCTCGAGCCCTCCACTTCCTCACGAAGATGCCAAAAGAGCCCACGTCTTTTATTACCAGCGCTCAAAACAGGCCGTAATACGTGTCCGGATCAGGAGGAAGCGGACCACGCTCTTTGGAGTTGGCAAATGCAATTGAGCCTAAAATCAGCAAAAACAAAAAAATAATTACTTTCTATAAATTTCAAGCTTAAAGCGATGTTTGGTACTTGTACGTTATCAATGTACAACTCATCTCTCCACTCTTGCAATTTACCTATAAATTATGGAATGGTGTATTATAAGATACCTACATACAAGTAGGCTTTATAAACATTCGATATAAAATTTGATGGTTTGGGTGTATCACAAATTTGAAAAAATTTTAAAACAATTTTAGCCTAGTCAATGGAATAAATGTAACCGCCTAATTTCACATCTAATGGTCAAGATTAATTGTAACCTTCAAAAATAAAATATAAACAGTCTTATTGTATATTTTTCCATAAATTATTAGGATTGGATGGGTGAAGGAGGGGCAATGAGTTGACAAACACTTCGTAAAACACATTTAGGGTATATTTGACAAAACATAATTTTAAATGTTTAAGATTTTGCATGTTAAAATGAGGAATTGTTTTCAAACATGCCATTTATTTTTTGCACATGGAGGTCACGATCATTTTTGTCCTTTAAATTTCAAAATGGGCGGTTATAAGAGTGTTATTGAATAGACACAAAATTCCAAAAAACAAATAGTATATAGTTTTTCTGAAAGAAGACATTTGCATGCAAAGAGAGGGCGAAGAGGCAACATAACCAACAAAGAGAAATTGAAAAAAAATAATAAATCAGGAATTTGTATGTGAATAGAGAGAGAGGGCAAAAGAGAGATTATTAATTTTCCATCGAATAAACACAACATTTTTTAGAGTGAAAAAAGAAAAATTGAGGAAATAAAACACATGCACAAAACTTTGAGAGATAAGCAATTAAAAAAAGCTAAATTTTTTCCATACACCTTTAAAACAAATAGATTGATAATGTACATAGAGAATGTGGAAAACATGGCGACAAATGAGAGAGAGAGATGTTGGGTTTGGTGATAACTGAATCACCGTACCCATATTTTTCTCTAAAGATTAGGGTATTATATGAATTAGAAAATTGACTTTGTTGGGACGCAAGAAAGTGATATATTTATAAAAGAGTGAAGGATGACATAATACCCATCATTTGAGGGTAACCCCTTTGGGGGTTATGGGAATGGATCTCCAATATGGTCTTCAAGAGAGAGAGACATGGCCTCCGAGAGAGAAGTGATATTCTCATGAGTTTTGGGTTGGTTAACTTTTATTTCTAGAGAGAGAAAATATATATGTTACTCTTGATGTTATTTTTTCGGTACCAGTATTACGGTAGGAAAGAGGATGTTGATTGACGGTGTTGCTCGGTCTGGAGAGCAGATTTAGAAAGAAAGATCGGTGATGGTCTTTTACTGATGTTTAGAGATAAATATTATCTCTTGTAACCCAAAACTATAATCTTTATTGTGATAGTGGATGTCAAGTTGCCGAGGCCGTGGATGTAGCCATACGGGGTGAACCACGTAAATCGTGTGTTGTTGTAGTGTGTTTTTTTATGTTTACATTATTTATCGCACTCAATTTATAGTTGTATTCATCTACTTTGCATTTAGTCAATCATGTACGCGATCTTGGGTGGGATCCCAGTGTTTGGGATTCCCGGTTCCACAAGTTAGGAGTTCACGAGAACCCCACTATTGGTATTAAAGCATAAGGTATATACGGGGGGCTAAGGCTTGCATTAAGAAAATGATGAATGGTAGAGATTGATAGATACATGGTTTGAGGTAGAGAAATATGAAGGTAACGTATTTGTGAAAATTCCATAATGGAGGCAAGTATGAAGAAATCAAGAATCTATTCAATAAAAATTGCAATGCAATTATAGTGATTTTGCTATCAAGGTGGAGATTGTTAGGTTTGGTGATAGCTAAATCACCATACCCATATTTTTTTTCTAAAGATTAGGGTATTATGTGAAATAGAAAATTGACTTTGTTGGAAAGCAAGAAAATGATATCTTTATAAGAGAGTAAAGGAGGACATAATACCCATTCTTTCATGATCACCCCTTTGGGAGTTATGGGAATGGATCTCCAATATGGAGATGGGTCACCAAGAGAGAGAGACATGGCCTTCTAGAGAGAGGCGATATTTCCATGAGTTTTGGGTTGGTTAATTTTTACTTCTAAAGAGAGAAAATCTCTATGTTGCTCTTGAGGTTATATTTCTGGTAGCGGTATTACGATGGGAAAGAAGATATTGATAGACGGTATTGCTCAGTCGGGAAAGCGGATTTAGAATGGAAGATTGGTGATGGTCTTTTACTGATGTTTAAAGATAAGTATTATTTCTTGTAACCCAAAACTGTAATCTTCATTGTGATAGCAAATTTCTAGTTGTCGAGGCCGTGGATGTAGCCCTACGGGGTGAACTACGTAAATCGTGTATTGTTGTGGTGTGCTTTTTTATGTTTACTTTATTTCTCACACTTGATTTATAGTTGTATTCATCTACTTCGTATTTAGTCAATCTTGTACACGATCTTGGGTGGGATCCTGATGTTTGGGATTCCCGGTTCCGCAAGTTAGAGGTTCATGAGAACCCCACAAGAGAGAAAGAGGGAGGCTCAAAAGACTTCCTATAGGAAGAGGCTCAACCTTTCCTTAACCATTATAAGCATTAGTCGAATTACTTACGTTGAACGTAAAATTGATCGGTAGTAGAGCTACCAAATATTTAATTACCAAATAGATCTATTAGGCAAGAGCAATGATGTTAGAGATCTATTAGGCAATAGTTGGTTGTTAGATAGTAAAAAAAATACAGAAAATAACTTTTTAATTATTATTTGCTATAAAGCTTTCAAACCAACTATAGAACTTGTTCTTCTTCTTTCTTTGAGTTAAAAAAATACTTTAATATGATATTGTTTTTTGGTTTCTTTATTAAAAAGAAAAATGTGGCTTATATGGGTTGTATAAAAACTTTACAAATTTAGAACTGTATGATAAAAACCGTTGAAAAACTACTCTTATAAGAAAAAAAAAATTTCTCCAAAAATATATTATTCCATACTATAAAATCCTTAAGGAATATATTAATGTTCCATGGAAAATTGAAATCATTTAAAATTCATAAATTAAAATTATGAAATATTTTAAAACTAAATTTTTATTTTAGAACTTATAATTTTAAAGAAAAGTTTAAAAAT